GTCTATTGATGGGGGAATTAAGTCCATTAACATTCAATGTTAGAATTGATAGGTATGCAGTGATTCCTGTCATTTAGTTGTTTTTGTTATTTAAGGGTTTGATTGTGTGAAGATGAATCAATGTTACTCTCTACATTCTTGTCTTTTTTTCTCGTGTGGTTTGGTACTGCCTGTCCTTTCATGGTTTTGTTTGCTTTCTTTTTCTGTTTGCAGAATTCCTTGAAGAATCTTTTGTAGTGATGGCTTGGTGGTCATATATTGTTTTAGTTTCTGCTTATCATGGAAGACTTTTATTGCTCCATCTATTTTGAATGCTAGTTTTGCTGGGTAGAGTATCCTAGGGTTGATGTTATTTTCATTCAGTTCTCAGAAAGCCTCACTCCATGCCCTCTTGTTTTTAAGGTTTCCATTGAGAAATCTGCTGTGATATTGATGGATTTACCTTTGTACGTGATTTGTTTTTTCTCTTTCACAGCATTCAATATTCTTTCTCTGTTCTGTGTGCTTGTTGTTTTAATGATAATATGTTGTGGGGTAGTTCTATTTTAGTCAAGTCTGTTTGGTGTCCTGGAGGTTTCCTGTACCTGAATTTGCATTGTTTCCTCTAGATTTGGGACATTTTCTGTTATTATTTTGTTGAATATATTACGAATTCCTTTTGCTTGCACCTTTTCTCCTTCTTCAATACCCATGATTGTCAGGTTTGGTCTTTTGACCCATATTCCTTTCATGGGTCTTGAGTTGTTTGAGTTCTTCAATTTTTCCTTAAATTTCCATTCATCTTCAAGTTCTGAGATTCTGTCTTCTGCTTGTTCTAGTCTTCTGGAGTTGCCTTCCATTTTGTTTTCTACTTCTGTTTCATTCTTTTTTTCTGAGGTTTTCCATATCATGGGTCACTTCCTTTTTAATATTGTCAATGTTTGCCTTTAATTCATTTATCTCTCCATTTATAGTGTTCTCTGTTTCACTTTGGTGTTTATTTAGGGTTCCTATGAGTTCCTTTATTTATTTTTGTGTCTTCTCATATTCTTTATTTTTGTTGTCTTGGAATTTCTTGAGTGCCTCTTGTATGTCTAGTAACACCTCCACAAAATTCTCAGTGATTACTTGCTGGATTTCTTCTTTCAGTTTATTCTTGTGGGCTTCATTGTGTTCCTAGGCTTAGTTTATCTTTGTTTTGTTTGAGTCTGGAACTGGGTATCAGTTTACTTCATTTCCCTCTGAATCCTGTATTAATTCATTTTTGGGGAGAATGGTTTCCATCCCTTTTTTGTCTTCTCATCACTTCACTTGGTACTGTGTAACTGTGCTCTTGATAGGCTATTGGAGGTTTCAGTCACCTGTTTTCTTTCCCTTGGTTTAATTTTGTTTTGTGAGTGTGTGGGTTTTAGGTTAGTGTATGTGTGCTGTTTTTGTCCCTGGTCTATGTGTAATTTAGTATTAGCTAACTCACAATAGTAAAACTAACAATACAAAGAAAGAAGGAAAAAAATAAAACCAAAGAAATCAACAGGAAGAAGTGGTGGACAAACAAACAGGGAACAAAACACTTTAAAAAATTTCAGGTTCAGGAACAATAGATTTTCAGTCTTAGTAGTTCTGGTGTTACTCCTTCAGCATCTTGTCCTGGTGTTGGTATTTAAGCAAAAGCTCTGTCTTAGTCTCACCAGGTGGTTGGAGAGACTTGCCAGTTTTTTTTCCTGTCTTTCAGCTGCAGCTGCTTTTTAGCTCCTCCCTCAGTGAGGTGTGGCTTGTCCTCAGGTTCCACAGATCAGCTCTGTGGCCCATCTGCTGTTCTGCTTTGTAGTTGGGTTTTTGCTGTGTTTGTTTATTGGGGGATTGTTTCTTTGCCTCGCCTCTTTCTCTGGGGCAAGGTCAGAGGTCTGTCAGCTGACTCCCTGCTGTCAGCATATTATGATGGTTTGCTGATTGTTTTTCAATTTTTCAGCATTGTTTGGATGTTGCTCAATGGCTAGGAGATGAACTTTGTGGACCGCTACCTGCCCTATTTCAGGCAGCAGCCTATTGCCCGCCCACTGTTAGCCTTCTGCCTTTCCAGTCTTTGTTTACTGAAAGTTCTGGTGGAGATCAGCTCCTTGCTTCTCCCCCCTTCTCCAGTGCACTTACAGCACCCTGCCTCCTCTGCTGCATGTTCCTTTTCAGTTCCTTGTTTATTATTCAGGTTTTTTTTTGGGGGGGTGAGTCTGTCCATGGGACTATGCTGGTTTATCCCAGTGGTGTCTGTGGGAATACCATGTGATGCTTATTTGCTCACCTGTTGGTCTGCTGGATGTCTCCCAAGCAGGTTTGGAGCTGGCATATGGAGATGCTGGAGCCCTCCTGTTTTTTCAGTGTAACGTGGCATGGAGAAGCTTTGTATGGGCTGGGGGTTCAGGGTGTTGAAGTTTAGATTCTTCTTGGTTCTTTTTTTCTGCCAAATGTGGCTCCAGCATCTCAGCAAGATTTTTTATTTACAGAGTTCACACTGTCTGCTTCTGCACTCTAGTAGCCATCTTGGATCCCTCTCTGGCATTTAAAAGCATCTGTTAACCTACAGAGTTTACTCTTGGGGTTGGTCAGGGAAGAAATTGTACAAAAGTGAGACTTCCTTTTTCCTGAGTTACACCTTGTTGTTCTGAGTTTGACAAGCAGGCCTGGTGTCTTTAGTGGACAGGCAGGGCAAACAGACATGCAGTCATCTTACAGAGCCACCTCTCCCCACACAGGGCACTAAAGTCTAGATTTGGAGGCCCAGTTTCAGAACACTGACTCCTCAAACTTGGGCTCAGCTGCATCTTCCAGATCAGCTTTACTAGCCATTGATATATTTACCCACAAGCCATTTGTATCTTTGTTTTTAGAACTTTTCTACTTTGTGCCACTTAGAACTCAGAGAAAAGAAGGAGGATTCATTGTCTCCTATCTTTCCGTGGCCATCTCAGGCACTTCTTTCACTTCACTAAATTTTTTCTGATATAAAATCAGGAAACTGATCACAACTAAACCCTTATTCTGCTATTTCATTTACAAGGTACTATCTTTTTTTAAACAGATTCAACTTATTATAACCAAAAGTAGCCAAAGATTTATTTCACATTACAAGTAGGAATAAATACAAAATAAGATCTCCTTTGAGATCATAGATCATGTATCTTCATTTCCATCAAAGAACTTTACAATTATCTTCATTATGCTTCACATTCAGAATGATGACAGAAAAGGCAGAGAAAATGTTCATAAATTTTCATAAATTTTCGAGTACTATGGATATGCTTTTTTTGTGAAGTGCCCAAGTCTTTTGCAACATTTTCTATTACGTTTTCTTTTTTATCCTTTCCTTGTTTATTAGAATTTTTTCAATCTTCTTTTTCTGGTGTGCTATGAATCCTCTTTCAGTTCATGTTTTGCAAATATCTTCTGTCTTTTTCTAGCTTGTCTTCTTACTTTCTTAATATTATGTTTTTATCACCAGAAGTTTTGATAAGTAAAATTTACCAATATTTTCTTTTATGAATAGTATCTTCTGTACCCTGCTTGAGAAGGCTTTCTCCCTCTCAAGGTTAGTAAAGATATTTTCCTGAGTTACCTCTGTAAATGTTACTGCTTTAACTGTCACATTTAGATGTCAACTCCACTTCAAAGTGATTTCTGCATATGGTAGGATTTTCTTTTGTCTGTTTTGAAAAATATCAGTTCTAGACAATTACCCAGACAAAAGCTACAAAATTAGGAAATCACATTAAAATGAGAAAAGAAATGTAATATAAAGTAGTCCGAGAATATTACTTAGGTCTGGATTCCTTGGGTTTGGAGACAATATGCCTTATAAACTATGTTGGGAGCTATTATTACAGTATCAACAGCTTTATTCTTCAAGGATAAGAAAGAGAAATGGAGCGGCATTTTTAAAACAATAAGCAATACAAAACCTGCAGTTGTTCCTTGTGGGAAGGAGATAAGGCAATTTCTTATTAAGAATGATTTCAGAACCATAGGCAATGAGTTCAGAAATGCAAGTCAGAACCCACTTTTAGCAAAATCCCCAGGAGTAACTTATGCCTATTAATGTTGAAAAGCACTGGACCAGACAATGGAAGATGGTTATCAATTGTTATCTACTGATTATCACCACTACATATGAAAATATCTACAGATCTGATAACCCACATCTTTAAAATAGAGTTAAGAGTAGGAGTGAGGGTAGAAATAAGGGTCAAACTGAAGAAAGAAGGATCATTCCATGGGCGGCTCAATGTATTGGTTACCTAGGACATTGAGCTACACATTCAGGGTCTGAGTACTGCCTGCTGACAGCCTGGTTATAAGTCCAATCAATTTTTTAAAAATCACAGTTAGATTTTACTTTTACTTTTAGTTTCTGATTCTGTCTTAGGTCAAAGAGGACTGCAAATAGTCAAAGGAAGTAGAAAATACAGGAAAGTGAAAAAACAGGTCTCTAAAAGAAATGAAACTTGCCATATTGCCTTGATTCTTCATTTAAATCGTTGATTTAGCACCAAATCATTCTCCTCATTCTCTGACTTAGTACCCTAAATTCACTACCTGTACCTTCTATGAATAATTGGACTACAGACCTTCTAAGAGGTTTTGGGGATCAGCTGGTTTTCGCTGGCGGAGACACTGCGCGCCCCGCGCCGCAGCCAGGGGGCAGAGTCTGTCTCCGGCGGGCTAGCGCCTCTGCCCGCTACCTGGCACTCCAGCCCCAGCACCTCCGGCCGGTCCCGGCTTTGGCTTTCCTGGTCCTTTGCACCGGCCAGGTCTCGGCGGAGCCGGGGATCCCACCGCCAGAAACGCAGGCCGGAGCAGAGGCACCCCAGGCTAGGGAGGAAGGGTGGGCGGCAGAAGGCGGTCGGCTCACCAGTGTGTGGGAGGGGGATCTGGAAGGAGGGGGTGTCCAGGGACGCAGCAGCCCCGCCCCTTCTCCTCCCCTTCAGAACCCGAGGAGCCGGGAGCATGGACCAAACCCCAGCGGTGGCACCATGACGCCCGAGCGTTTCGTGCTGGCTCTCATTCTAGGGGCGCTCCCCGAAGTGGTCAGCGTCGATCCGGTCCTCACTTATCCACCTCATCAGCGCCACCGCCACCTCCACTCGTCCCCTTCAAGTGCTCAGTACCTTTATTCCCTTCCCACCCGGCAGCGGCCACAGAGGACGCCTCCGCCGCCTCCGCTCCCGCGCCCCCCGCGGGCGATCCCTGCGCTCCAGGCTGGTCACACTCCCCGGCCGCACCCAGGAGGCTGCCCCACAGGAGGCCTGTTTGTCAACGTGACAGACTTTGGCGCCCCGTGTCTGCGCTGGGCAGAGGTGCCACCCTTCCTGCAGCGCTCACCCCCGGCCAGCTGGGCTCAGCTGCGAGCGCAGCGCCACAACTTTTGCAGGAGCCCCGACGGCGCGGGCAGACCCTGGTGCTTCTATGTAAATGCCCACGGCAAGGTGGACTGGGGTTACTGCGACTGCACACACGATGAGTGGCATCGGGGCAGTGGTGGCAACTTGGGACTTGCACGGGGCCAACCTGGTTTGGGGAGAGCAGAGATGTTTCTGGGAGACAGAGGGATGGTATGGAGTTTATGGGATTGCATTTCGGGGCACGGTGTGATGGTTGGCTGCCGCTGATACTAGTGAGGTATATTGGTATAGTAAGTTTAAATTAGCCGTGCGTGCTTTGTGTGAAGGTTGTCAGATGGGCAGTTTCTGTGCAAGGTTTGAGTTCTGGGTTCCTAGACACTGTCTTTGGTTACTGTGTGTATGTGTGTCCAGCCTTGGCTGGATGTGTGCATGTTGGTTGTCTGCTGTATTCCGGATCAGCTTGCCTGGAGGGCGTTATTAACATAAAAGAGGAAAAGCTAAGGAAGAGATGAAGTTGCTAATTACTTATTTTGGAAAGGAAAGTAGTAAATGTAATATGACCTTCAGCAAACTTCCCTCCCCTCTGTGGACTCCGATTTGGAAAACCGGTGAAATTTTTGCCTTGCTCCCACCACTGTATTTGAAAAAGTGTGATAAAATTCCCAGGCCAAAATACAAAACTGGTCACATTCTGGGGCACAGAATGGTAAATGTCATCAGTGAGTGAAGAAAAAAGAAAAGGCCAAGAGGTAGGACTATAAGGAAACAGCTCACCATGGTTAAATGCAGTTTTCAACAATGACATCACTTGCCATTAAATGTCATTCGTGGGAAATTGGGCTTAGTTGGTAACATCAGGAAAGAAAGTTGGTAAGATCTGTTAGGTGTGTGATAATAAAAGCATCACATTAATAAATTTAATGTAAGTGAATATTTTGCCTTTAAACAGTTCTTTATTTTGAAATTGTTGGGGTTTTAATACTTTCTTGTATAACAATTGGGGGAGAAAAATCTTGTGTCCTTTGAAGTTTGAATTTTTCCTAAAAGATTAAAAAACTGGCAGTTTTTCATCCAAGCTGAATTGGGATCCTGAAACACGTACTTTGTGCCTTTTGAAGGTAATTTGGAGGTACTTTCCACAATGTCCTTCTTTTCCTTCAGGAATTTTATTTATCTGTGCCTTCAATTGCATTAATGCTTTGAGTTAAAGGAAAGCGATAGGAAGGTTGAGATCAATTACCCTTCATCCTAGAGAATGAAGTCATTGCTATACTCATGATTCGTGGATGGAATGCCAATGAGCTATAAAAAATTGAGGTGAAGTGATATCAAACAGAGAGCCCTAGTATTATCTCATTTACTGTAAGAGATTATTTGTAGTAAAATCTCAAGTCTATTGAGCTGTATTGACAGATATCTTACCTTCTAATTATTCTTAGTTTTATAAATAGATAAAGGTGAAGAGTTATTAGGGAATAAATGTGTAGGAAAGAATACACGATTTCTCCTTAAATTATGTAAAGACATACTAAAATTGAAATTAAGTTTAAAAAATTATAGTGATTTATTGCTTTTTTTCAGACATAATTAACTTTCAGTTTTATTTTCTTAATGAGGAGAATAACTTGTTCTAGTATTCCCCACCACCCCACTCCCTGTAATTGGATAGAAATTTAAATTTTCTCAATGCTTTTAGATTCATAGCTGTCAACAGACAAAACCCCAAACATTACATAGTAGCTGTGTGTAAGATAATTGAACACAAGAGAAACAAAAGAAAACACCCAGGGAGAGACATAAATGCCCTCCCCCACCAAGAACAAAACAAAAACAAAATCAGGAAAGCAATTGTCTATGTAATAATCAAATTACTTTTACAGACTCAGACTTGATAACCAAGGCCTCCCATTCTGTCATTTACTCCTGCAGGTCTGATTGGGCAAAACCCATACCTTTGAAATGACTTGCAGATTCCAACCCTTAGAACTTTACTATTCTGGCATTTCAATAAGGGGGTTCGAACAAAAATATTATGGAGTGGTAAAAGAATATTGATTGAGTCGTGCTTTTAGTCTGCAATGCTGGGTAAGACGCTTAACTTTGGTATTCTCCTCTGGAGAAAAGCAGGTTATGAACAAATTAATTCAAAGGACTTTTCCTGCTCTGCGCATGTACACAAAATGACCTTGCTTAATAACAGCTAGGACTTACTGAACACACACTCTGCACAGGATGCTGGACTAAGCATTTTGTTTGTTTTCTGTTTTAATTTTCATAGCAACCTTATAAAGGAGTGCCAACATTTTACTGTTGAAGATACCAAAGGCAAATTACCAGGAATGAAGGAGAAAATAAGGTTGAATATGTTCATTTTTACTTCTCAGCTCATTTTGTGCTGTTTCTTTACTTATATACCATGTAGAAATAGCTGTGCAGTATAGTAATACTCATTTGATAGCTTATGGACTGGTCTCAGAGGAAGAAAGAAAGGAAGAAGGGGAATTATGTTTATAGTACAATGCACATTAATTCCAGTCTCTTATGCCTTAAAAATATTTTGTCTTTACAGAAAACCAAGGCAAAGAAAAGAACAATATATAGTAATGCTGTCCCTCCTTTAGAAAATAAACTGGTGGCCAGTTTCTAGTTGCATCCAGAGAAATGAGGAAGTTGGTGTGTTCTGGGTGGAGAGTTTGTCGAAGCCAAGTTGAAGGGGCAGGGTGGGGATCTCAGGTGAGTCAGGGCAGGGCAAGGGCATTCCAGTGGCTCAAATGTCAGAGAACAAGAAAGGTGATGCCCAGACTCTGGCCTTATGAAATTTGCGTATTAGTGAAAAAAAAAAAGAAAAGTTTCTGGGGATTGGAATACCTAGGTAGCCCAGGGAGTTGGTTCTTGTAATGAGCATTAGAATTACCTAGGGATTTGTTAAAATGCAGATGTCTGGGCTCTAGCATCAGGGTCCTGAGTAATTTTCACATGTGGATCAGGAATGGAATGTACATTCAATTACCTTGCCTACTGGACACTCTTTCATGGTCAGTGACAATCGACGGGAGGTCATTCAGAATCCCCTGGAATGTGTAGTGGTGGTGATGATGTGGGCTAACATCATCATTCCATGACTTCATCCTGCTAGTCTTAGTAGCATGCACAAGGGACCCCAATGGTAACTTTCTGTGTGATTTTAGAAAATGGCACCATTGGAATTTGACCAATGTGAGATAACAACAACCTAGATCACTAACTGAATGTGAGCCAGGGTGCCGGCACATTTCTACAGGGAGATTTAACAGGCAACTGACTGATTTCCCACAAGTCCTTGTGATAAGTTAGTGCTTCTTGAGTAGGAAGGGTAATCACTTCTCCAGGCTCAGGCTGGCACAGTGGCTGGGGCAACTTGCATGGCACTGTGCTAGAAACACTCCTTTTTCACAAGCAACCAAGTGGATTAAACCTTTGGAGGTTGACAACTGATAGATAAAACAGACAGAATAAATGATAACCTTCTAATAATTGAAATTTTACCAGAGACAATCTGTGTCAGTCAGCTCCCTGTCACTGTGACAAAATACCTAAGATAATAAAGTTGAAAGGAGGAAAGATTTCTTTATATATGGTGGTATTGGGGTTTGAACTCAGGGCCTCTTGCTTGCTAGGCAAGTGCTCTACCACTTGAACTATACCATCAGCACTTTTGGTTTTAGCTAATTTTTAGATTGGGTTTCTCATTTTTTGCTCATGGTGGCTGAACTGTGATCCTCCTCCTTTGCCTCCCTTAGTTGGGATGATAAGAGCCTACCACCACACCGGTTTTTTTGTTGAAATGGGGGTCTAGCTAAGTTTTTGCCTGGAATGGCTTCGAGCACTGATCCTCCTGATCTCTGCCTCCTGAGTAGCTGGGATTAGAAGGGTGATCCACTATGGAGGAAAGACTTATTTTGGCTCACGGTTTCAGAGTTTCAGCCCATGGTCACTTGGCTCTGTAGGTTTGTGATGAGGCAGAACCACTTGGTTCTGAGCAAAGCTGCTCACCTAACTTCAACTTCAGCCAGGAAGCAAAGAGAAAGAGTTTGAGGGGGTCTCAATATCCCTTCAATGGCATTCCCCCAATTACCTTGTTTCCTCTGACTAGGCCCCAACTTCTAAAGGTTCTACCACCTTTCCAATAGTGCCATAAGCTGGCAACCAAGCCTTTAATATGTGGCCATTGGGGAACATCTAAAATCCAAACCATAACAAAATGATTTCCAGTTCTGATTTTGTGGTTGTTAAATCATGCTAATCTGCTCATATGCACCTACTCACCGCAGATCTCTTCCTTCCAACAGAGATGGTGGCTTGTCGGCCAAATACTGTTTATAAACTGTCCTCTTTGAAGTTCTTCTGCTGTTTGAAAAGAATGTTAATTAAGAAGTTAGCTGAAAGCTTCCCCCACCTCTCCGCCTTTTAATTCTGCATCTTGATTTTATGTAGTAGGTGTTGAAAAACATTTATTGGCAATACCAGATTTGATATATTTCCTGGCTGGATTTTAAATATGGAGCTCAGTCTGGCTAAGGCTTCTGTAAAACATTTAGATTTAGGGCATTATTTGACTCTGAAGTAGTGTGAACATCTTTTGTTTTAAGAAGAAAATAAGTTATCCAGTTTCTATTACTTTTTATGAGATATTGCCTGGCCAGGAGTATGTTTACTTATGTGGTCACTGACCTGTGTGTGTGTGTTTATGGTAATTTTGCAAATGTAGTTTGGTTTACAACTGTGAGGACAAAAGGAAATATCCAGTAATAATGTACTATTTATAGGTACCTTCTTTTGATGGATATAATGCCTACACTAAAGTAATAACTGTAAAGATTACATACATAAAATGGAAAAATAATTATAATAATATTAAAAGCAAAATATGGGCATACATTATAAACATGATTGTGAAAATAATGAGACTTGTTAATAATTTGGGAAAGAAAACAAATGATAATTATGAGTTTGAATATGAATGTGGTTTGACTTAATTACATTGATTTCAGTGGCAAAAAATAGACAACCCAATTCAAAATGAGTGAAACAGTCAGAGATTAATTTCTATTTTAATTTAATTAATTAATTTTTAAATTTTATTGCATTGGGGTTTGAACCAAAAGTCACACACATGCTAGGCTAACACTCTACCATACAGCTACATCCTCATCCTTAAATTTATTGTTTATATTACAAGAGGTCCATCTGATTGGCTGCCTCCATCAGAGGCAGTTCTGTTCCACACTGTTCTCTTGGCTTCTCTACTTTCTATGTGGGGTTTTATCCTTAGGCTCCACTTAGAGATAAGGCAACCTACAGGAGAAAGAAAAGGCCCCTCTCCCTGTGAAAGAGCAAAGAAAACTTTCTAGAATTTCTTCGCAGACCCCTCTACTATTTCATTGACCAACACTAGATCACATGTTACTTTATGATTCTCTCTAGAAAGGAATAGCCAATGAGCCATACCTAGGTTAATAGGAAGCAAGGTAGTTCTTAAGGAGAGCCAACAGGTTTTGCTAAGGAACATGTTTAGGATTTATTCTTATATTTGGGAAACAGTGCAATTAAAAAGTAAGTAATCTAAAATACTATGCTGTGAAATTCTACATCCTTTTCTTTTTATCCGTATCTAAATGAATAATATTTAGACCCTGATTTGGTGGAGAAAACATATTGTCTTGTTTTAATATGCTATCTGCAGCAAATATTACTGACAGATTTATTTCTATAATAAATAATTCCATAACAGTTGAGAATACCAAAGTTAGTTCAATTGTTAGGTTAAAATGATTTATTAATATTTTTTAAACATTTTTGTTCTAAGTGCAGGGAAGCAGTTTTTAAAAACTTTTCTTGCTACTCTGAATAGTAAACAAATATTCAGATGTTTACTATATGAACAACTGATGTAGACTGCCTTTTACATGGTTGATACAATGATGTTAGAACATCAGGAAATGCTTATTTTTGCATCTTTAGCACCTAGTGTTCAAGGGCAGATCCTCCTGTCTCCCCTCCTCCTCCTTCCTGCAAATTGATACAACAATATTAATAAAACTTCATTGTATTCAAAGCACTAAAACCATACAAACCATACAGGCATATTCATCCAGAATACTTTCTATTAGGATCATAAAAGGGGACACCAAAGGTGGTGGAAAATACTGATTTCTGTATTGGGGCAAGGATAGATTACTGAACACTCACTGAGTTTACAGTAGATGCAGTATATCCCAAGATAAATAAAGGATCACCTGACCTGTGTTTTCTAGTTGAGCTGTCTCAAGAATAATAAATGTTTTTATTCCCTTCTCTGTGGTCCATGCTCTGTAAGACAGATAAGGGGATTACTATTCGGTTAATTTCATCACTCAGTGTTGTGCAGTGAACTGTTTACACAGCATCGCTTGTGCATGTGTAAATGTTTCTGGGACACACAATTTGTGAGTTTCCTGCATACGTTGTTAGTATGCCAGAACTTAACCATGGATAAAGTCTTCTTTAATGGACATCATAGAATATTTTAAACTAAGGAATAATTCATAAGATATATAAATTTCTAATAAGCACAATGTAATGGATAGAACTGGTTATCAAGAGGATATTCTCTCATTTTGAATTAGACCAATTCAGACTTTTTTGGGCATTAAAGGTAGGTACATGAATAATAAATGAACAGTTAATATGAATTATAGATGTGAACTAATGGAGGCAAGTATAGTTTGGTTGGATATTGGTTCAGGGAAATGCCTTGTATGTTAAAAGATGATTTGACCAGGGGCTATTTGAATAAAATTTACTATTTCTCTGTGCTAAAACAGATTTAAATTATAGATCAATTGTCAATATAATTATAGATAAGAATAGTATAGTACTATCAGAGAGTGTGTAGAAAAAAACATGAATTTTTTCCCCTCTTTACCAAACTGTTATTTTAAAAGATTTAAAAAATATTTATTACTAATTTTCTTCAGAAAACTACTGGAATAGGTCTTTGTCTTTGCTGCTTTTTCTTCCTTTAAATGAGTGTATGTTAGTTTATTAGTACATTTTAATTAGTTAATTGAATTGGCTTATCTTTTCAGTTGCTCTCTTTTGGAAAGATCTGAATGTACAGAATAAAGGTAGTTGACCTATTTGATTCTGTTCCTAATATTTCCTTTGGGCCTCCTTGACTTAAGGAGTATAGGAAAAGAAGCTTGTCTACCTGGCCAAGGAGGGTTAATACCATAATGGTCCCATTACTTTATTAGGGCTACAGTAAGTACCACAGAATGAATGGCTTATAGAAAAAAAAACTTCAAGATCAAGGTGTTGGCTGAATAAATTCCCTCTGAAGGCACTGGGGAAGGATTTGTTCCAAGGTGCTCTCCTAGTTCCTTGGATTATGGGAGAATAACTCCAGTACTTACATGGCATACTCCCTGTGCGTGTCTCTCTGTCCAGATTTTCCCTTGGTATAAGAACACAGACATAATGGATTATGGCTCACCCCAATGACCTCATCTTGACTTGATCATCTACAAAGGCCTTATTTCCAAGTAAGATCAAATTCATAGGTATTGGCGATCAGTACTGTGACATCTCTTAGGCATGCACAATTCAGAAACAGCAGCCTTAAAGAAGAAAAACTAATGAGATTTGTGAAGGGAATTTTAATCCCCTTAGCTGTTCTTTTCTAGTTTACCTTGCATTAATTGAGACTGGTAAGATGGTTAAAGACAACCCTTGAATGTCAGTTTTCAAATTTCTATTTCCTAGCAAAGTTGTCAGTGAAGCAAATTTTTATAACATACATCCATGAATCTGTTATATTTATGTTCTTTTATGAAGCTGTAGATATGTTAACATAGAATAAAAATATAAAGTAAAATGACAATAAGTTAAACGTTTTTGCCAAGGAATTAAGAAACAGAATTCTAAGCACTGTTGCACGTTGGTACTTTTCTGCCATGAAGTAAATAGTTGTGATACCAGCAGTGAGTGACTGTGGTTTGTCTGTTTGTTTTTTTAGCAATTCCTTTCATGAACTCTGGGGGCTCTTTTCTTTGATATGCCATCACACACAACCTTCACAGTTCCAGACTTTTGTCCATTACTGATTGGCTCTATACATTCATAATGACTAATACAGTTGACCTAAAACCTCTGTTTGAGATTGTAAATTTTAAATTGTCATTGTGAGGGTTTTTTAAAAATTTTTTTATTTTTTTCCCCTTGGCAGTACCTGGGATTGAACCCAGAGCCTCATGCTTGCTACTAAGTGCTCTGTCATCTGAGCCACACTCTCAGACCTTCTGTTTTTCTGCTTTTGAGGTAGGGTCTGGCTAACTTTGTCTGGGGATTGGCCTGGAACTTGCAGTGCTTCTGCCTCTGTCTCCCAAGTGCAGGGATAACAGATATACATTGCATGCCACTTTCATATATTTTTAAAAAGGTGTTTCAACTAATTCTTAGAAGAATTGAGAATTTCATAAAATTATATGCCATGAAAGAAATACAGTGAGTAGGCATGGTGGTGCAGTACTATAATCCCAGCACTCAAGAGGCTGAAGCAGAAGGATCAGTGTTCTAATTCAGAGTAGGCTACACAGTGAAAATCCTTCTCAAAAAAAAAAGAGAGAAAGAAAGAAAAAGAAAGGAGGAAGGAAGGAAGGAGGAAAGGGAGGGGGGACAGAGGGAGGGAGGGAGGGAAAGAGGAAGGAAGGAAAGACTTATCTATGTAGATGGTTTGCTTGGAACACTAGAAATTTTTGTGGCTCTCAAGGGAAAAAGCCATCTGTAGAGGGGCACTGCTAGGAAGGTGTGTGTGTGTGTGTGTGTGTGTGTGTGTGTGTGTGTGTGTGTAGTGGGGGAGTTGGCTGGTCCTGTGCTGGGAGTGTAATCTGACAGAGAATTCACTAGTCATTGACATGCAAATTACCTTTTCAGAATCACAAATATTTGTATTCATTTTTTTAAAGAAAATTGGCTGATACCCCACAGTTCTTGCCACACAGCAGATGCAGCTAAATGAATCCAGGCTTTCACAGTAAGTTTGGAGCATTTGCAAAAAGATGGTGCAGCTGATAGTTGTCTTGGAAACATTTCCAGCTCTATCATTGCCATAGAATGTCACGGTCATCATTGTACTGGTGTTTTCTCCTCATCTCTAGGTGCCTCACTCATTTGAATGATATGTGCACATCATTTCTTCTTGATAGGTTTTTGGTTTTAGCACTATTTTAAATGCCTAAGCACTTAAGTGTCTTGACATGCATAAGTAGAATTCTAGTTTGTTTTTGCTGCTAGAACTTTCTTCCAATCCTTTGACATGTAATTTGGTAGTGGTGGGGAATGAATAAAGAGGATAAGAGATTAATTTAAATATCATTTTCAGTAAAGTCTGAGGTGAACAAATGAACTGTCGATTAAAAAAATAAACTGGTGTTTTGATAGCCATAATATTTTGTGGTCTCTGCAAAAGAGGTTGTGTGATTTAAAAATCTGTAAAGTTCATTTGAACTCCTCAGACATTCTGCATTTTAAACACATTCTGCACTTGACACGTTTGACTGTGCTAGGCAGGGTCTGCTGTGGCTTAGTCAGACTTTACAAAGTTTAGAATGTGTGCTTTTGAGATGATCTGTCCTATGAATGATCCAGGCCCATGTTCTCTCCTGAATAATCAGGAATTGGCAGTGCAGTGTTTACCTCCATTTATTATTGCCTTTTGTTGGAATTCAGTTGGACTTTGTCATGAGAAATGTGATTTTTTTTTAAATGCTTAAATTTTTTAAGGATGATGATATGGAAAATAATATGGTGGGTGGGTAAGCCAGTACAAATGAAATGAATGGGTAATATATGAACAGAATACTTTTGGAAAATTATCATAAAGCCTTACATAATAATTTTGAAACGTGCAAATTACATCAGAATTTTTTGCAAGACTTATTTTTTTCTTCTTGATTTCTTAAATTCTTTACCTATGACATAAAGGACACCATGGATGTTTTTCAGCAGAATTTTATGAAATTTTAAGTTTGAGATAGAGTCAATCTCTGATTAAATACTCAATTGCTATGTTCCAATGCTAGCTGTGCAACCAGTCTCATGGAGAAGAGTGAGAAGAGGAATGCAGGGTCTTAATTAACACTTAAAGTCAGAAGAAAACTTAGTGTTTTCTTTGCTAGGGGTGCTTGAATTCAAATTTTGACTTTTTAAAGACTAAAAAGAATGACTCAGATTGTGGGCTGTGGGACAGCTCAGTGGGAGTCCTATGTAAGAGGACTTGAATTTCCAGGGTTATTCAATTATAACAAACCACACTGCTGAGTGGCTATTATCTTAAGACTAATACTAGGCAATGTTTTCAAAACTAGCATCTTTTTGAAATTCTGAACATATACTTTAGAGTTTTTATGATTATTGTTTGAGGTTAAAATTGGAAAATGTACTTATTGTTCTCTAGTGGATGAACAAATCAAATAGAAGGAAGATATAATGTAGCTATTTACAGCTGATTTATAAGCAAGAGCATCTAACTTTGTTTCTGTTTCTTATGGATGACCTCATGTGAAGATGGAAGGTAATATATAATAAGAACTTCATATGTGATGTAATCTAATATTTGACTGCAAGATCTGATACTAGTCATTCTCTTCTGCTGTCTCTCTTTAAAAATTATAATTGGACTCTCTTTGTGCCTAGATAAAAAGAGAAAGTATAAGGGTTAGGGATGTAGCTCAGTGGTAAGTGTTTGCCTAATATGCACAAGGCCCTAAGTTCAATCCCAGAACCATCAAAAAGAAGAAAAGAGAGAGGGAGAGAGAAAATATAATTAGCACTGATCTCAGGTTGTTAATTTAAAAAAATACAGTGTGCTCAATCCTCATTTGAAGAAAGAAGCATACTGTGCACACACTGGAGGCTGAATCAGCCCTACTGAATGCCTTTCCACTTAGGGTAAAAATCAGGTGAACCCAGGACTGGCTTAGAATGTTCACTTAACTATGTGCTGTTATAAGGCTTGGGATTCTTTTCTACTTTAGGGGTATTATGACTTTGTGGTGGGAAAAGTGAGTTTGATAAATGTAATACATCATATTAACAGAAGCAAAGACAAAAACCATTTGATCATCTCAATAGATGTAGAGAAAGCCTTTGGTAAAAATCAATACCATTTCATGATAAAAGTTCCGATGAAACTAGGAATGAAACATAATAAAGGCTATATATGACAAACCTATAGCCAACATCATACTTAGTGGGGAAAAACTGAAACCATCTTCCCTAAAGTCAGGAACGAGACAAATGTGCCCACTCTCTCTACTCCTATTCAACATAGTTTAGAATTCCTAGCCAGAACAATAAGACAGGAAGAAGAAATAAAAAGAATGCAAATAGGAAAGGAAGAACTCAAACTATCCCTCTTTGCAGATGACATGATCTTCTACCTAAAAGACCTGAAAAACTCCACCAAAAAACTCCTAGACACCATAAACAGCTTCAGCAAAGTAGCAGGATACAAAGTCAACTTACAAAAATCAGTAGCCTTTCTATACACCAACAAAGAACAGTTTGAGAAAGAATATAGGAAAACAATTCCATTTACAATTGCTTCCAAAAAATCAAATACCTAGGAATAAACTTAACAAAAGATGTGAATGATGTCTATAAGAACTACAAACCACTGAAGAAAGAAATTGAAGAAAACTTCAGAATATGAAAAGATCTCCCATGCTCATGGATTGGTGAAGTCAACATAGTAAAAATGGCTATTTTACCAAAAGCAGTCTACACGTTTAATGCAATTCCCATCAAAATCCCAATGACACTCATCACAAAGATAGAAAAATCAACCCCATAGGTTTCTGGAAGCACCAAAGACATCAAATAGCTAAGGCAATACTGAGCAAAAAGAGTAATGCTGGAGGTATCACACAATACCCATCTTCAAACTATACCACAGAGCCATAGCAATAAAAAAAAAACCATGGTACTGGCACAAAAACAGATATGAAGACCAGTGGGACAGAATATAAATCCATGCAACTACACCCACCTAATTTTTGACAAAGTTGCCAAAAACAAAGGATAGAGAAAATACAGCCTCCAACAAATGTTGCTGGGAAAACTGGATATCTGCTTGCAGAAAACTGAAACTAGATCCATGTTTATCATCTTGTACAAGTATCAACTCAAAGTGGATTAAAGACCTTAATATAAGACCTGCAACCTTGAAGCTAGTACAGGAAAGAGCAGGGAATACATTGGAAGCAGTAGATACAAGCAAGGACTTCCTCAATAGAACTCAAGTGGCTCAGCAACTAAGAGAAAGGATGGACAAATGGTACTACATGAAATTACAAAGCTTCTGCACAACATAAATGGTTTCTAAATTGAAGAGGCCATCCACAGAATGGGAGAAAAATCTTTGCTATCTATACATCTACCAAGGGATTGATAACCAGAATATACAGGGAGCTCAAAAAAACTATACTCCCCAAAAAATCAATGACCCAATGAAGTAATGGGCAAATGAATTGGACAGAGTCTTTTCAAAGGAAGACCAAATGGCTAAAAAACACATGAAGATATGCTCAACATCCCTGGCCATAAAGGCAATGCAGATCAAAACCACACTAAGATTCCACCTTATTCCTGTTAGAATAGCTACTATCAAGAACACAAACGACAACAAATGTTGGCGAGGATGCGGGGTGTGGGGAGAAAGGAACCCTCTTATGCTGCTGGTGGGCGTGTAAGCTAGTACAACCACTATGGAACACAATATGGATGCTTCTTAAAAATCTAAAAAAAGACCTGCCATAAGATCCAGCAGCACCATTTCTAGGGATACACCTGAAGGATTGTGAGTCAGTTTACAACAAAAGCACTGTACACCCGTGTTTAGTGCAGCGCTATTCACAATAGCTAAGCTATGGAAACAGCCAAGATGCCCCACTACTGAAGAATGATTAAGAAAATGTGGTGTTTATGTGCAATGGAATTTTACTCAGCCATAAAGAAGAATGAAATTTTGTTATTTGCAGGTAAATGGATGGAACTGGAAAACATCATCTAACATGAAGTTAGCGAGACTCAGAAGGCCAAAAGCTGCAGGTTCTCTCTAATATGTGTAATATAGACCTAACACAAATGCAGCAATATTGTGAAACACTGGCCACACTAAGGGGAGATCATGCATGGGAAGGTATGGAAACTAAGAACTTGAACAGGGTTCAAGGATACTATACAAGAATGACTATAAAAATAATCTGACTGAAACTACCATGAGAAAGGGATTAAGGTAGAATGAAGAAAATAAAAGGAGATAAACCATTTGGGGTTATAATACATATATATGTGAAAATATCACAAGGAAACTCCCTGTGTAGCTACCTTTATCTCAAATAAGCTAAAATGTCATGTTTTTTGTTTTATCTTTTTTCTTCTATAAAATCAGAAAACAGGAGGGTGGAACAAGTCCTGCTGGGGGGAAGGAGGGGCTGGCACCAGTGGAAGTGGGGAGGTGTTTGGAAACGGGGGTAGGAGGGTGAATATGGTGCAAAAAATATGTAGATAAGTATGTAAATGCAAAAATGATACCTGCTGAAACTACTCCAGGAATGGGGAGTGGGGGGTTGGGGCTGAAGGAGAATGGTAGAGGAGGTGAATTCATGTATGATATATTTGGTACATTGTTAAGAACTTGTGCAAATGCCATAGTGTACCCCCACACATCAAAATAATAAAATAAAATAAAGTGAGTTTGAAGGCACAGGGGAGATGAAGGTTGGGGCACAGTCTATAACAGCCCCCAGGATGATCCTGATGTATCAGTTACTTGTCAATAGCTGCAGTTGGCGTGAGTTCACCCACATCTGACCCAATCAGTTTGCTAAGACAGTTGTGTACTGCTTGATGACATTTTTGTCCACATAAGAGATGGTGGTCCCTTAAGATTATAATGGAACTGAAAAATCCCTCTCACCTAGTAATTTCATTTTGCCTTTCTCATGTTAATCTGCTGAGATGCACAAATACTATCATGTTACAGTTGCTTACAGTATTCAGAACAGTAACATGCTGTGTAGGTTTATAGAGCAATAGGCCGTACCATAAATATTAGGTGTGTTCTAGGCAGCCATTCTTCCTTCCTTATTGTCACTTTGCTCATTCTCTCTTTTCACAAAAGAGCTGGAAAGAGAGGTCCCCAAATGGAAGAAACCAATTTTTCCCCACACACAAATGTACTTCACACATTACCACCTCTGGTGAACTAGGAAATGGGCTGATTGTCATGGGCAAAACCTTAAAGAATCTTTTGATCATTGTTTTTAACAAAATAATTGTTTAGGCCTAGGAAGCAAGTCATTTACTCTGTGAATTATGATATCTGTGCCGTTCTTAGTTGCTATCATTTGCTTTTAGCTTTCTACTTTCAGCCTCCCACAAATCCCATTTCTTGGTATGTGAAAGAGACAATGCTTCCTGTGCTGTCATCACCTGATGAGTAAAGAGTTATGTCCAGGACTTAGGTTCCTGCAGTGAGAAGGTCCTGTGGGAGGTGACTCCTTCTGTCAGCCTCCCCAGTAGCTAGGATTGTAGGTTTGAGCCATGGTGCCTGGGTTATATGCACTGTCTTTAAAATGAACCAGTGTAGCTGGTAGCTGGAGGCTCACATCCGTGATGCTAGCTTCTCAGGAGGCAAAGATCAGGAATATTGTGGTTCGAAGCCAGCCCTGGGCAAATAGTTTTCCAGACCCTATCTTGAAAATACCCAACACACACGCGTGCACACGCGCACACACACACACACACACACAAACACACACACACACATACACACACACAAAAGAATTGGCTAGTGGAGTGGCTCAAGAGCTCCTGCCTAGCAAGCATGAGGCCCTGAGTTCAAATCCTAGTACTGTAAAATGGACCACTGTTTACTTACTCCCACCAGTTCCAACATCTTTATGTTTTTCACCATAGGATTTTTCCAGGAGGAGAAGGCTCCATTTTGGAATAAAAGGTTTTATTCTTGTTCTTCTTATTGTTCCTTTTTTGCATCTTATGTTTTTCTTAAGTACACATATGTGTTTTTCTTGGCCTTTGTTTTCAGAAAGCATGGAAGCTATCTTATTATGAAAAGTACAGGTCTAAAAGCTGGAAAAGGCTTTGCAGCTTGCAAATATTTTGGATTAATAATCAATGAGTGTTAATAGGTAGAATGATGATTCAAGTGAAGAGGTTGAACTTCAATTTGCCAAATTCCTTCTGTCTCCCCACTGGGAAGATGGAGATTGAGTTCTTAATAAAGACAAATCTGAAGGCCTAAGATTTGTTCAGACTTTAGGTTCTATTAGAGCAGCAAATAAGGTTAATTTACTATATTAAAATTAATTATTTTTCTTTAATGGGAGTTGGTAAAAAGTAGTGAAAGAGTAAGGGAGGTCAGGGCCTATGAAGTGTATGGTGCTTGTAAATGTTCATTGCTGATTTCATCAATGAATATTTCATCCTACAAACAGTCAATGGTGGGTGGGCAAGCCTTAAAGAATGCTTATTTGAGGCATTCTCCTTTGAGGGCCAGCCAATGTAATAAATTTGTATGTTGGGTGTCAGTGTACATACCCACATGTGCTTTCTCTACCCTGAAAATCAGAAAAGAATACAATATCCTATGAGACACAAAGAGAACGAGAACGATAGCATAGTTGTAGTTATTAGTCTTTTGACTGACCACAGGCTCTGAACTATCATCCAGCAAACATAAACTTCAAGTAAGTCCATCTGATTGCTTATATCATCTTCTGGTGACTATTGTTTTTATATACAAGAATTGCACAATAATTGCACAGCTACGGTGCTGTGAAGATACATTCTTATTTTGGATAGCTCCCAAATGTTCACTGTTTGCTTGATGAAAGCTGTAGAGGGAGACAATTATAGAGATTACCATATTAATCATATAATTTTGGAATCTTTTTAACATTTAATATCAATTTGTACACATCAGAGTTTATCTATAAAAATATGTGGAATAGAAGAGCCAAAAGAGGATCCCATCTGCATGTTATTATTTTATTAATCAGTGTCGCAGTCTTGCCAGCACAATTCTATATAAAAGATATTTTTAAATGCTAATGGGTCTTCTCTATATATTACTGTTCTTGGATGTAATAATAATCCATTTGAAAAGGGTAATCCAAAATATTGGAGTAGGAAAAAGTCTTCAACCATGCTGACTTCTCTTTTTACACGTTAGAAGACACAGCCTTAGAGGGACTTACAGCTCAGTGTGATTGTTAGCTGAGTCCAGACCAGCATTCAAGCCTCACTGGTCCTGGTGACACACTTCTTGCACAAAACCACACAGACTCCCCTTTTACACCAATAACTTCATCATTTTCTTCCAGATCAGTCTTATATAGTGAAAGCTCATACAAATATCTATTCAAGATTGATCACAAAGTTACTATTTAATCAATCCAATTCTAATCTCATGTTTTTATTCCCTTGAAATTTATATAATCTAGTGCTTTTTCCATTCCTTCCTTCCCATCCATCTTTATTGATTTCTCCCATCTTTAAAAATCCAAATACTCTGGTCAAAAAATTTTGCTTACACTTGATAAATCTGTATTTCCAGAAGAAAAGGAATAGTAAAATAAGCCCTGTTTTCTGGATGGGCCCTTATTCCCATTTATTGGAGCAATATCTGTTGCCAAGGAGATGAAGAAAATATATTGCTTTGTGAAAAAGACATCTGGCAGGGCAGGTGTGTCCTCAGGAGATGGCAGCTGCTGTCATGTGTAGCTTTTTCCATGGATCAAAAAATTCTTTTGTTTTAGTTTCATGATTCCAAATGATAAAAGTGCTCTAGTTAAATCATTCCCTTAATGAGTTTAAGTGCAGAAATAAATTTAAATCATCATATTTCATCATTCAATGACATAATCTTCAGGACAGGAGGTGCAGTTCAGTGGTAGTGCACTTGCCTATCATGTGTGAGACCCTGGGTTCAATAACCAGTATGGAAAAAAAGAAGAAAGACAGTCTTCAACATGAGTGCATCTAACTCTTTGAATTTTATTTGGTTTTCAAATAGTAAGTTTTGTTACAGAAATATTTCATACTGGATAAGTAACACTTGTTTTGGAAATGGGAAATCATGATGGAAACAAAATGGGAAATCATTATCTTGAAGCCAAATACAAAATACAACTTTATGTAAAAGTATGATCATGTATCAGTGTTCTTTGATTGTAACATTCCCTAAAAATGGATTGTTAGCTTCTTATAGACTCCTTACTAGGTGTGTGGTAATTAACAGTATGGTTTAAGTACAAAATATTTATTTATATGTTCATATAAACATATTCAGAGGAATGAACAGCTATTCTTTAAGTTGGTACATGGGTTTTTCTGGGGAGCACAGTTATTGTTATAGACCACAGTCTGAGGTTATCACATCTTACAGTGCTGCATTTTGTATTTTCCATGGAGACAGCAGCATGACCAGATGTCCCAGGACTTGACATGCTAGTGGGCAGCTCGGGAAGTGGTTTTTGTTTGAGCACAGTTATCTGGAAGGTGGGAGTGGGGTGGCATAAGAAAAGCTCCCACCACAAGACAAACAGAGACCAAGTAAGAATTTGTCTTAGGGCACAGTGACAGATCTTTAATACATTTTTTTAATTTGGGAATTACATTTAGTGTCTTGTCATCTGGTAATTGTAGCTTTCCCAGTACTTAGGAGGTAGATCGTGTACAAGGGTTGGACATAGGAACTAGCAGCAATGTAAATGAAAACGTGGAGAGTTTTATTTATCTATAAAGTAAAATATGAGTCAATTCCTTTACTAAATTTCCTTTCAAACGTTTTTTGTGTGTTTGTTAAGAAAATGAGGATACTATCTCAGTTTTATCCTTGTGGTTTTCTATGTTTTCTACATTTTAACAACCAGGAAAAAAAACATGTTTTAAAATAAAGTATGACATAATTGTAAAATGAAAGGTAATATGTCAAAAAGGCTTTAAGTTCTAGGTGATTTGAAATTTCCTCTCAAAAAAATTTTTTTATTATCTCCAAGATTACCATGGCAAAGAGAGTATATTGATTAAGAAAAAATACATTTTCTATCATTTTTCTGTATATTCCAAATTTTAAAGGAAAAATACACATCATACATAAACATCATAACGAGAATTGTGTGTCATCATTCAGTCATATATATCAAGTCCGTTTTTATCCTTTTACAAATTGTAAGCATGAGTTATATAAGTAAACTATAGTATAAATATCAGTATGTAAGTATATGCAAATATTTATCCATTTGAATTTCTGCTGTAATACTTAAATATGATATTTAAATTTAACTATGAATATCCAGATGTCACTTACTGACAACCACTCACACTGTGGAGAATTAGAAGCATATTTCATATGGGTAAATGATTAGCAAAATATGCACGACCCAACCTGTTCATTTTTACCATATTACATCCTTTAGTCCAGCAAAATCAGGCTACCTTATTGTTTCCCAAACATGTTCAACTTTTGCTTCTTTTTTTTTTTTTTTTTGGCAGCACTGGGGTTTGAGCTCAGGGGCTCATGTTTTCTATGCAGGCTTTCTACTGTTTGAACCACTCCACCGACCCTTTTTTGTGTTGGGTATTTTTGAGATAGGGTCTTGCGAACTATTTGTCTGGGCAGAGATCCTTCTGATCTCTGCCTCCCAAATAGCTAGGATTATAGGCGTGGGACACCAGTACCCAGATTGCTTCTATTCTTTTGTTCAAACTATTCATTTTGCTGGAACACACTTCCTCCTCTCTGACTTCCAAAATCCCTCTGTCCATCTTTTTCCAAGGGATTCCCTAATGACCTCCAACTAATATAAGCTCCTTTGTTTCTAAACTACAGCAGTTTTTTTTTGTTTTGTTTTGTTTTGATAGTCTCCTATCTTTACTCATTTAATCCACATCCTTAGGCAATAAAATTCTTGAGGACAGGCTCTGTTTAGTACACCTAGAGTGACCTAGGGGTGTTCATTGCAACACCTTATATCTGAAGATGGTTAACATCTGTTTGTTAACCTGAATGCATAGACCTTGTGTATTATTTTTCCTTGTTTGAGGTATCCTTGTAGGTTTTTAGCATCACTTGCTAAATCAGCTAGTCAACAAATACTTATTACATGCCTTCTGTATACTAGGTGCCTGAAATACAAAAGTAAGAAGGATAGGCAGTATTTTTGTCTATTCTAGCCAAGAGGGATAATTTCATGCAAATAATGAGTGACAGTTTTAGATAAAGTAAATACTGTGAGGAAGACAGAATTAGGCAATATGGTGGGAAGTGCCTTAGGAAGTTCAGATTTAGCTAAGGCAATCAGGTCAGGCCTACTGAGAAGAGACCTTTCAGAGTTAAGCACCACATGCGGAGAAGGCAACTGTGTCAGCATCTGTGGGACTTTATTTCAAGCAGAAGCACAGCAAGAACAGGACTCTGAGGTGAGAACCAATGTGAAGAATTGTGGGGACAGAAGGCTGAGGATGTTGTAGTCCAGCATGGAGACAGAGAAGTTTGGGGACTGACAAGGGCTGAATCAGGCTACTGCAGACTATGGGAGTGTAGCCATCACTGGTGGTTCTTTAACAGAGGAAATGAATTTGAACTGATTCATGCCCAAAAGAATTTTCAATATTGTATTTTGGAAATCCAGGCCATAATATCCACCAACTTGCTGTAATGACTTCAATGGTAATTTTGACTTGGTTTCTACAAATATAAAAATAATTCTGTACTTCTGTACTGTAAATAGCTAGGTTATAGACACAAGTACCATTCTTAATAATTACATATTTGGTTCCTGGGCACTGATGGCTCATGCCTATAATCCTAGCAACTTGGGAGACTAGATTGGAAGGATCTTGGGTGGAGGCCAACTTGGACAAATAGTTCTTGAGACCCCATTTCCAAAATAACCAGAGAAAAATGGACTGGAGGTGTGGCTTAAGTGGTAGAGCACCTGTGTTATACGTGCAAAGCCTTGAATTTAAAACCCAGTCCTACCAAATAGGTATATAAATAAATAATATGTTGGTAATGCCCAAGTTGCTTTAAATAAAATAAAAAATCAATGCCTGTACTACACCACTGTAAAACATTAATCATGTTTCCAGTAATCTGCAGTTTTTTGTGAATCTTTTCTAGTTTCTGAGGTTGTTGTAGAAAAGTGAATTTAGCCTATTTCCTCTGAAGGGCTTTTTGTATGAAAATAATTTGATTTGCAGTACCGTAATATATATTAGATATACATGTGTATGTTCATACCACTTGTTTGGCTTAATAAATATTAGGGGTTGATGCAAAACCAGGTTTAACCTGTTTTAAATTTCCCACTGCACAGGTCCAGCATTGCCTGTCATTCGCCTTGCTGATGGGAGCAGCTGGTGTGAAGGTCGAGTGGAGCTGTACCATGCTGGCCAGTGGGGGACCATCTGTGATGACCAATGGGATGATGCAGATGCAGAAGTGATCTGAAGGCAGCTGGGCCTCGGGTTTGTTTTTACTGCTCTTATTTTGTTTAAGTTTTGAATCTATTTTTTTCCATACCCAAAGGCAGGTGCTGTTTGTTTAAGTTGCACATTTCCTTGAACATGTAGAAAAAAACTACCTTTTGATCTTTGTACTGTAGGCTGCAGGCTACCAGAAGAGAACTATGTAAGTTTACCCCACCTGTGTCTGAAGAAGAGTGATTTTATGTCACTAAGAAGCTTTTACTACTTTTTATATTGTTCCCAGGTAATGATCAGCACTGTGAATCACATCAACTTAATCTGTTAGCTTATAACTGAAGCTTAACTCCTGTTCCCCAAATAATGCCTCAACTTTTGAACTTGCTTCCTTATTTGTTAGGTGCATGCTTAAAACAGAGGATGTTTTACTAATGTATGCAGCAAGTAATTTCCATGTAGGGAGTGGAAATGAAAGCTATGCAACAAAGAGAGCAGTGTGAAAATCAGCATCCCATGTGGTCTCAGTAGTGACTATTGGACTGCTGTTATAACTTCATATTTCCTAATCCCTTCCTTTTGTGATGCTGAACACTGGCATAGCAAGACTAAAAGTTAATCTAAAATTATATTAAGGGTCTTTTAAAAGCTACTATTTTAACGTCAAATTTAAAAAATACTTCATTTAGTCCTTTGTGGGAGGCCCCTTGCAATGAGAGCTTCCCTATGCACATATCATTTTGTCCAAATAACCTTTTTCCTGACCCCTGAGTGTTGATCCATTCATCAGTTGTAGGTAGGGCACCTAGGCTGTTTCATAGTTTGAATAATGCTGCAGTAAACATGGGTGTGCAAGTGTCTTTATTGTATCCTGACTTGCATTCTTTCAGATATATGCTTAGGAGTGGTATTGCTGAATCATGTGGTAGTTCTAATTTTAGTTTTTTGAGGAACCTCATACTGTTTTCTATAGTGGTTGTACTAATTTACATTCTAACAACAGTGCATAAGGATTCCTTTTTACCCTCACCAGCATTTATTGTTGTTTGTGTTCTTGGTGGTTGCTGTTCCAACAGGAGTGAGGGGGAATCTTAATGTGGTTTTATTTGCATCTCCTTTATGGCCAGGGATGTTGAGCAGTTCCTCATGTGTTTTTTGGCCATTTGTACTTTCTTTGAAAAATTTCTGTTCGGTTCATTTGCCCACTTCTTCATTGATTCATTGATTCATTAGGAGTTTAGTTTTTTGAGCTCTTCATAAATGCTTGGTTATTAATCACTTGTCAGACATATAGCTGGCAAAGACTTTCTCTCATTCTGTGGGCTGTCTCTTCAGTCTGTGCCTGTTTTCTTTGCAGGACAGAAGGCTTTTAGTTTCAGGTAGTCCATTTGTCATTCTTTCTTTTAGTTGCTGAGCCATTTGGTGTTCCATTTAGGAAGTTATTGCCTATGCCTATATATCCCAGTGTGTTCCTACTCTTTCCTGGACTAGGTTCAAAATTTTAGGCCTTAAATTAAGGTCCTTGATCCACTTTGGTTTGATATTTATACAGGATGAAAGATATGAATCTAGTTTTAGTCTTCCACGTGCCAATATCCAGTTTTCTCAGCAATATTCATTAAAGAGGTTGTTTTTTCTCTATTGAACATTTTGTGCACTTTTGTCAAAAATCAGGTGGCTGTTGCTACATGGATTTATGTTTGTTTATGTCCTCTTTGAGGTCATTTAGCTGTTTCTATGCCTTTTGAGCTTTTTATCCATATTCTCTTGGAATTTATTGCCTTGTTTTCGTGTTGTCTTTAAACTCATTAAACATTCTTATCATCATTCTTTTGAACTCTGAATCTGAGTTTTCATCTCCTTCACTATCCACCAGATTCTCTATTGGGTGGTTGTTGACCTTTTGAAGAGTCATATTCCCCTGCCTTTTTAAATTTCTCATTCTGATATTTTCAGATTTGCTCATGTGTTGTCGATTAGTCAGTTGAGAGTTTTAGTTGCCTGATATCTTTCCCTTGACTTTATTTCTATGTTCTGGCTGGATTGGTTGTTTGCTATGTTTTGTATGGTTTTTGTTCACTGACCTGAATGGTTGTAGGCACCACTCTCTGGTATGGAAGGGACTCAGATCAGTGGGAATCTGGCTGGTGCTGAGGGTGGCAGGCAGCAATTGTTCGCTTTCTCTGCAGTCTGGATTTCCCAGGCTCTTATAGGGCTCACAACTCTGTGTGTTGATTTTTAGGATCTTTCATGGTTTCTGAACTGGAGGTTACTCTGGTAAGAAAAAAGGAACAACTGCTCTTTCCAGTAGTTTTCTTGGAGGCACAGCAAGTTACTGGTGGCTCCTGTTCACCTAGGGTAGATTTGCACTTTAAAAGGCTTATTCAAAGGATGGTCATTGTAGATGTGGTCTGCCTATATATTGGCAACCTCTTATTTAGCAAGCTACTCAGACCACCTCCTCTTGCTGCCATGAACCTAACATTATCTTTCAGGCTTATGAGAGTGTGGTGTTCTGGGGTCTCTCAGCAATTTGCCATCTTGGCCTCTTCTTGGTCTTCATTCTTTCAAGAATGCTTTTATCAAAGTTTTCATGTACTGGTATTGGAGTCAGCATGGCATAAGGTTGTGGACATGGGTTGAACTTACAACGACCTCGATCCAGTCCTTGTTTTGGAGTTAAAAAAATAATAAAAATAATAAAGACATCTCTATTAACAGCTTTCTCATCTATAGCATATTTCCTAATTTATAGGGTTTAGTTAGCACACACAGTATGTATACAATATATGTTGGCTGTCAAGTTCAGTTAGTCTAATTAGGAACAGTTTATTTAAAAGATGTTATTAAACATTCAAAGTATACTGAACATTTGGTGTTGAGATCATCAAACACCACTCCTCTATTCAGCACTTTTATTAGTTAGCTGCAGATTTTTATATTTTAAAAACACTCTAATGTGTATGTCTATATTCACTGAGTTATCAATTATGTGTCTTCAGTGGTTGCTAATTGATTTTCATGTTAGTTACTAAGAAACCTATGTCTTTGCCAAAAATATTAAGAATTTCAAGAATACAGTAATAGCTTGTTAATATTACCAGTTTCAGGAAGGATTATTCTAAGTTTAAACTGTAAGCCATTTTTTATTAATATATTTCTGTGGAGAAAAAGAAAGCTTTTGTTGTTTAGAAGATTATATATAAAATTTAAATGATACATTGAGTATTAATTACATTTGCAGTTACCCAAGTGATTCTAAAAATTCATGTTGCAATATAAAGTTCTTTCATGAGAGATGAAGATTTTTTCACTTGTATAGGTGACTCTTAAAGACTATGTTGACAATACTCCATTGCACAGAGAGCAGATAGAGATGAATCATAAGAAAGACTATTAATGTTGAACATACAGCTGGGTTAAATGAGGTGTTAGTGTCTTTTTAAAGTATTAGTTCATTGCTATCTTTCTGTAAGGGGATTTATGTTTGGAAAACTGATTATAAGGAATCATTAATCATGATGTAGTTTTCCTCTAGGAATTCAACAAAGCAAGTAAGACCACATAAAATGTACTAGTCAGCTTTCTGTAGCAAGATACCTGAGATAGTCAACTTAAAGAGGAAAGATTTATTTTGGCTTACAGCTTTAGAGGTTTCAGTCCATGATCAGTTGGCCTCTTTGCTTTTAGGCCTGTGGTGAGGCAAAGCATCATGGCAGGGAGAGCATGGTGGAGCAACCGGCCTGCCTCATGGCTGGGACATGAAGAGAAAAAAGAAGAGGAAGATAGCAGTTTCCTCAGTCCCCTTTGAGAGGTTCCAATGACCTAAGACCTCCCACTCGGACCTATCTCTTTTATTGTTTATGTATTTAAATTTTCTTGGCAGTATTGGGATGTGAACTCAAGGCTTTGCGTTTGCCAGACAGGCACTCTACCACTTTAGTCACACACTCAGCCCTAGGACATACTTTTTAATTGTTTCACCACCTCCTAATAGTGTCACAGGCTGGGGACCAAGCATTTAACACAAGTAGTTGGGGGACTCTTTTCCAAACCATAACAACAAAGAAGCATATATTCTTTACAAGCCTTTGTATCAGCTAATAATCCAGAGGTTTGTTCTCAATATAAGCATTCTGATGCTCTGAGGTGACATTATTCATTTATCTTTCTTTAACTTGATTTATAGTTCTTTCATAAATTTGCACTAAAGCAATGTTCTACAATATCTCTTCGTATATAATTTGCTTTGCTTATTTATAGGCTAAGTAACTTCAGATGAAATAGTTTTTTAATGGAACATGGCTGATAGCAGTCAGCATAATTGCTGCTTGTCTCAATTTATGATTTATTCTTAAGCATGTTTCTTACTGTGTTGAATTCCCTGAGGAAAACTACATCATGCCTTCCTGGAGTGGTGGTTAAAATTTCTTTGTGAGATGCTCTCTTTGTTGACCCTCATCTTTTAATGGTGTCTGTATATTGTGGTAGGACAAGCTTTCTAAGTGCAAAAGAAGTTATTGTACTTAAGATTCTTACATTTGATTAACCCAGAACTTGAAGAAAGATGAGGAGAAGTAAAGGAGGCAGCCAGATGTTAGAAAATTAGATAACTAGAAAATGCATATGCAGCCAGTGAAGATTCAGGTGGAGACATTTTAAAGTTCCTTGTGCATACTTACCATTAAAGCATTTCCCCTTTCAGAACTCTTAAAAGCATAGCCTGAAACTGTGACATCACATTTCATTGTGTTGATGTGCCATGATTTACATAGGGTTTTAAAAAAATATTAGATACTTCTTTCCCCCTTAACTGTTTTTCATTTATTTCCTCCTTCCTTCCTTCCCTCCATTCTTCTTTCCTTTCTTCCTCCCTCTCTCCCTCCTTCCCTTCCTTTTTTCTGCTAAAGTTATATATAGAACAATAGTAAGTGATCAGAATAAAAATTCTTCTGGTATAACCTACTTAAAATTTTTTTCTATGCTCCTTTATTTCATTGTTTCTTTTATAAACTTTACAGCAAAAAACAGATGACTGTGGGATAATTGAACAGGAATTATATTTTATTTACAGATGTGGGAGTCATAGATTAGCCCCTGAAGCCAAACTGTTAGTGGGAAGCAGAGACAAATCTTAAGTCTCTCTTAATTTAGGACTTTTTCTTTTATGTTGCATTGTTTATAAGATGGCTAAGTGTTAGTAATAAATGCAACTATAGGGCTAACAGAAACAGAAAAGTCAG